GCAACGTGCTGGGAAGTTCTCTGGACAGACTGCTGCCTTCCTGGGATCTCTCCCAGTGCCTGCCCCGTGCCCAGGGCAGGGACAGAGCCAGCAGGGAGAACTCTCTGCCCAGCCCTTGGGGCTCCTCTGTTTTCTAACGGCGCTCAGAAGCTGAAAAGGAGGTGATGAAGAGGCATAAATCTTTTGATGCAAAGAAAAGTGATGTGGGTGTATGTATATTCATGCAGCAGATGGTTCAAAGCTCCAGGCTGATCTGAAACGTGGGGGTTTTTTTGAACTGTATTTTTAGGGCACATTTAGTCGGATTCTGCCCTCCTGCAAATTTTTTTTTTTGTTTTTCCAGAATTTGAACACTATTCGTGGTATCCAAATTTATATAGTGCAAATCAGTGCTAACCAGGGAAAATGTGAGAGCCATGTGTCAGAGAATCAGAGAATCCCAGGATGGGTTGGGTTGGGTTGGGAGGGAGCTTAAAGCTCATCTCATTCCAACCCCCCAGCACCTTCCACTAGCCCAGGTTGCTCCAAGCTGGCCTTGAACACTTCCAGGGATGGGACAGCCACGAGCTCTCCAGGCAGACATTCGATATTTCAAAATGAATTTGAAAAAAACTGAGATTAAAGCTTGCTATTTCAAAATTCATTTTGCTGCTGTGCAGCTGATAAGGGCACAGAGATCTCCGTGTTTTCCAGGTATTCACCTGCGAGAGCAGAAGACTTCAACTGAAATTAAATATCCGTGATTTCTCCTCCCCAAAGCCTGTCATTTTATCTCTTTATGTCATCTTCCTTTCAAATATCCCTCCATGTGCTTATTTAAAGGAGGAGGGCTCTGCCAGTCATTTGGGTCTAACAGGGCAATTTATATTTCTGGGAGTGGGAATATGAGATTTGACAGAGACTCATCTAAGTGGCTTCAATCAAATGACTAATTAACGTGGCATCAACACAACCTTGCAAAATATATGGAATATAATTGTTCCTGTCAGCTTAGATCAGTCTCATTCACTGCAGTGGGTGGGGTTATCAAGGTCCTTGTTTTGATTGCTTTTTAACACTTCATTTTTCCAGTGGTGCCTGAATGGATGTCAGCAGTTTCCTCATCAAAAGTTTTATTTACCATAAAATGTAGATCCAGCTTACCCGGGGTCGTCTTGCAACACTGCATTCCTTTATGAAAATATTTCCCCTGAAAAATCACACTTTTAGAGTTTTCAGAAAGGAAAATAAATCCAGGTTTCTCAGCGGATTCTTGGTGTTTTGATTACATTTTACAGGCATTTTTTGAAAGAGTGAAGCAGTGCCTGGAATAAAAATGAGATCCTTGCTCCAATATTCTCTTTTCAGAGTCTGTTGTTTTGTTGTGGTGTTTGGTTGGTTGGTTTGTTTTTTTAAAGAAAAAATTTTAATATTCGTGTGAGTAAAAAAAAAAAAAAAACCTCTCTATTGATTTGTTTTGGCTGAATAAGTAAAGCAAACTCAGTTATTAACACAAATAACAGAGAAAACGCAGCCCATGCAAATCACTGACAGCAAAACCTCCCAAGAATCCAGGGAATCCAATAATTCCACTGCAGCCCAACATCTGGCACTGCAATGATTGCATCATTGCAGCAGCTCTAGCAGGATGTCACTGCCCCTGCTCTGTGCAGGCTTTATTTTCATCTTAATGCAACAAGATTCAGTGCCACAACTTGGAGCAATAACGGCCTGAAGGGGCATCATTTTTTGCCTGTTATCAGTTTGGCTCCTGCAGTCCCTCCCTCCAGCTGAGGTGGATGTTTGTAGAGCTCTCAATCAACGCAGTGAATTGCAGGGTTGGGAAGCAAAACCTCATGGAGAGGTTGCCTGAAGTGCAGGTATTGGATGTGTCTGGAACTTCTCATGGTGTCACCTTCTTGTCCCCTGCAGGTACCCCAACCATCTGTGTCACTGTCTGGGCAGTGCTGAGGCTTCACTTTGATGACACTGGGTAGGTATTGCTGGGTGGGAAATCACTTCCTGTGCCTTCAGCACCACGACAAGGATGAAAGGGAAATGTAGGGGTCAGAGGAGACAGAATCATGGAGTCACTGAAGTTGGAAAAGACCTCCGAGGTCATCCAGTCCAACCTTGGACTGATCCCCACCTTGTCCCCCAGCCCAGAGCACTGAGTGACATGTCCAGCCCTTCCTTGGACACCTCCAGGGGTGGGGACTCCAAACCTCCCTGGGCAGTCCCTGCCAATGATTATCAACCCTTTGAGCAAAAAAATTCTTGCTGATGTCCAAGCTGACCCTCCCCTGGCACAGCTTGAGGCCGTTTCCCCTTGTCTTACTTTTTCCTTCCATTTCTGACATTGTTGTTTTGTGTACCCCAGTAATTCAGGGCCAGTGTTCAAGTCCTGAACCACAGTTTGATGTCTGTGCTGTTACTGCAGGGGGGATTTCCCAAAAGAACTGCAGGCATCAAACCTGTAAACCTGCAGCTGACTCACTTGGCCCTCCATTCCCTGCTCCTGTAAATTATTGGAGTGCAGGATGTGGTTTATCTCATCTGAAAAGGGCTGTGAGGTGAATCACACATGCAATTCCTGCTCCTTTCCAGCTGATTATGGAGAAGGACAAAAGGGATGAGCTCAGCTGGAGAAATCGCTGGAGGTATCTCTGATGAAATGAGTGAAACCTGCACAGGGCATTGCTGAGCTTTGATTTCCCGAGGCAAGGAGGAGTTCAGCTTGCCCCTGAGAAATGTTTCCAGTAGGGGAAATGAATAGGGGTGAGACAGAAACCCACACCCTGTCTTCTGTATGAAGAAAAAAAAAAAAAAGAAAATTTAAATAATTTCAGGAAGATTCAAAAGGGTAGATTGTACCTGATTTGTCTCTTTTGACAGAGGAAAAAAAAAAAGACCTGCAAATATCCTGCATCCTTTTCTAAAGGACCAGAAGGAAAAGCTGCTCCCAGAGATGGACCTGCAGATTTTGGGAGTCAGTAGATTGAGTGGTTTGATAGGGCAGCAGAGGTGACAGGTGGGGATGGATGTGTAGGTACACCCTGAAAACACAAAATTAGCCGTGCTCTTCCCATGGCATCTACATTTGAATCCCGTGAAATGTCAGAAAAATGAGGGAGATTGAGTAAAATTTCAAAAATTCATCAGTGGTTCTTCGAAAACAGAACTGAGTGAAAGGCATTTTGTACCCAAATCCCATTTCTGAGAGATTTTGGCTTATGCTTTAATTTCTCCTCGTACTGGAGATACCTGAATGCAAAACTTGCACAAGACTCCTTGTTCTGCCACATTTTCTTCATTTATTTTATTTCAGGCTCTCTGGAAAACACATAAAGCCCTTCCTCCTCTGGGGATGCCAGAGCTCTGACCCAATGTTCTGTTGTGACATTAAGACAAATTAAATTACTTCTTTCCATGCAAAACAAGCCAGAAGCCCCCTGTTGTGTCATTATTATGATCACAACACGGGTCCTAAATGCATTAATTCCTCTTAGAAGTCCAAATAGGGTTTTGCAGGTAGAGAGAACATCTCACAGAAGGAAAGAAAGGAAAAAAAAAACACCTTTATTTTGTTTTACTTAGAGAAGCTATTTAGCATGCAACACATTCAGGCAGATTCCAGCTGAGAGTCTCAGTGGTTACTTTTTAAAAATCAGCAAGCATTGTTCAGGGAGGACGGGGAGAAGCCAACAAGAGCCTGAAAATACCACAGGAATTACTGAACTGGAAAAACCACCATGGCAAAGGCATGGACTGAAATGCAGACTCGGATCTGAGTCTCCTTTTGCTTGTTCCTTACAAAACTGGCACAGCTCCCTTGACTTCAGCTCCTGACTCCCATCCCTTCCAGTGCCAGGTTTGTGGAGATAAACACCACTGGCTGGTTATCCAGAGCTCTGGTGTTGAATTAAAGGGAGTTATTCCAGCTGGACACCAGAGATGTGGCCTTTTCAGATGGAAATCACATCCATCCATCCATCCTGGAGAAGAGTCCTGCCTGCCTGAGCTGCACTCTAGTGATGCATCTGAAGGAAATTAGGGATTCTATTTATGTGGAGCAGCTTGTTGGCTGATAAGACAACTGCTCTGTTTGTGCTTTGCTTGTTTTTCCTTCTGGTTTAGCTGAGGA